TGTGTGTGTGCGCATGTGTGTCAGTGTGTGTTTGTGCGTGTATACCTACTTGCAACTGATCGATGTCTCTTTTGTTTGTATATCCCCAGGTCCCCAGGTAGTCTTAGATGGTGTCAGTGAAGACAAGCAAGTCGCAACAAGAACAGCAGGAAAGACAAACATCAATCTCAGTATCATCACTCAGATCCCCCTTAGGCCCTGAACACCACACCTTAGACTTTAAACCCTAAACCCCGTAGCCAGAACCGCAGCAGGGATCCCGGCATTCGGCTAAGGCTTGTTCGTCAGCGACCTCCTTCCTGGCCATGTCGTCTCTTTGTTTTCGAGCTCAGAACGTCGGGTTCAGAATCCTAAACCTAAATTTAGGTTTAGGGTTTTAAATACTACACCCTAACCCAACAACCTAAACTCTAAACTGCAGGGTTCTCTCTGGGGGTGCGGGATTTAGGGTTCAGAACTCACGGCTGGGCTCGCGCAACTCCTACATTGCCAGCAACCTCCTCGAAACCCTAGACCCGAAAAACCCTAAACCGTGAACCCTAAACCATTGAACCCCAGAACTACACCCTAAAACCTGAACCCAAAACCCTAAACTTCAACCCAAACCCTGACCCCCCAGATACCGACTATAGAGGGTACTAGAGCCCTAGGGCCCTATATAGTAGGTACCTGGAGGCTTAGGGAAAACCCTAACCCTAGACCCTAAACCCTAAACCCTAGACCCAAAACCCTAAACCCTATAAACCCTATAAACCCTAAACCCTCAGCCCGAAACCCGAGATGCAACTCTCTCAGCTCTGGGCTGCGTAGCTTCGGAGCGGCGCTTGGCGCGCGCAGCCTGTCCGGGGGTGGGCTGGCGGCATCTTCAGAGTTCTTAGGGGTTTAGGGTTTAGGGTTTAGGGTTTAGGGTTTAGGGTTTAGGGTTTAGGGTTTAGGGTTTAGGGTTAGGGTTTAGGGTTTAGGGTTAGGGTGTAGGGGTTTAGGGTTAGGGTTAGGGTTAGGGTGGAGGGCCTAAGGCTTTAAGCCTTAAAAGGTGTAGGGGTTAGGGCCTAAGGGATTCAGGGCTTGCGGTTTGGGCCTAGGCTAGGTTGAGGGCTCAGGCTTTCGTGGCTAGTGTTTTGGGGCTTAGGATTTAGCGCCTGGGCTAAACGCCAAAGGTTTAGGTTTAGGCTTCAAGATTTTGGGCTTAAGGGCTTAACGGTTTAAGTCGGCTTAAGCCTACGGCTACGGGGTTTACGGCTCTAGGTAGATAGTGCAGGGATGCCCCTTCAGACAGCCCTTTAGAACCCATATCTGGGACCTGCCTCAGTGCATTTCCCCAATGATAGTGCCAAACACTGAAAAATATTCTATGTGCTACTTATGATATACAAAAGTATACTTTTTAAACTGAAAAATATGCCATGTGCTACTTATGATCTCCGAAAGTATACTTTTTCAAGCATACTGTAAAGGATCAGTAAGAGGACTATCAGGGTTGCACAACCTCGAGCTTGCACTCGCCGGCGACGCAAGGATGGAGGGTGAAGGTCCGGATTCGGATTTTGTCTCACGGTTGACATGTAAAATCCAAGCACAACTCCACGAATATTGATCCTGGCTGCGTCCTGTCGAGACGGCCCGGCTGTTGTTGTTAGTCTGTGGTGATGATCTTGATGCCGATGTCGAAGAAGAGCATAATGACGACAATGATTGCTGTTGGCGATAGCGATGGTGACGATAATGAAGATGATACGATGATGATGCCGACGATGTTGTGCTCTACTAAGTTGCTCTAATTCCGGCCATGGTTGTTCTTGCCTGCAATCGTTGTGAGTGCTCTCTCTCTCTCTCTCTCCTGGCCTCACGCTTGGCTTGCTTCTCCTGGCAGGGATGAGTTGAGAGAGGCTTATCAGCCGGCTCCTATGAGCCACAATAACATGAAGATCGGAAGCCCCGAGCGATAAACCAAAAGAGCCCTAAACCTCCAAGACATGCCCCACAGCGAGGGCGGCCGGGCTCTCTGCGTCGAGGGCGGCCGGGCACCGGAATAAAAACGTCTTATTACCCTAAACCCTCCAGGTACCTACTATATGGTTCAGGGGCTCTAGTACCCTATATAGTAGCTACTTGGGCGGTTAGGGCTAGTATAGCGGCCGTAATCATTTCAATAGGTTTTGGGGGTACAGTAGTATAGTTAAACACTAAGGAACCCAGAGGAACAAACTGGGACGCATTCCGATCCATACATAGAGAACCCTAAGCCCGTCGGTTTATACACGTTTATACCGTACTGTGTAATACCTTTGCGATCTTAGGCCATACCATAAAAGTTTATACATTGCTATGACACAGAATAGTCTACCGGAAAGCCCGTCGGTCCTCCTCTTCTTTCTGCTTCCGCTCCTTCAAGGCGTTCAGCCTTCAGCGCGTGCATAGATGAAGGTGTGCAGAAGCCGGTTCGAAGACCAATTTTGACAAATTTTGCTACGAATCATCCCGGCAAAAGGCCATGCGAATTCAGATCGCTGAACCCTAAACCTACCTAAACCCTAAACCCTAAACCCTAGAACCCTGAACTCGAAACCCTAACACAAAACATGGGCATTCCTGGCACGGGTCCAGGTCCCTGGCCCCAGATGCGAACGGACAGCCACATCCTGTGCTCTTTCTGGGCTTCCGGGTTTTAGCCGTTGGGTTTGGGGATTAAATTTGGGGTTTGGGGATTAGGGGTTTGGGGGTTTTGGAATGAAGGCTTAGGGTTTAAGGTTTGTCCTTGAATGAAGGTTTAGGGTTTAAGGTTTGAGATGGCGCTTCGACAGGCCCAACTCCTCAGTTCCGATTCTGTGCAGGCGGGCATGACTTGAGCTTCGGAATGATACTGCAATATAGCGGTCGGAAAACTCGGTTTAAATAAATAAATAAATAAATAAACAAATATATATATATATATACACACACACTATGGTTTCCCGAAGGGTTCGCAATCACGAATACAGTGTCAAATACCCAGAAATCCTTTTCGACATTTCATGGCCTCTATGCTGGGGGTCGAGTAGGTTGCTGTTTCATCTCGCTCGGAGACCGCACTTACCCCGGGGGGGGGGGTGTCTTGACTTAGGGTTTCGGATAATCTAGGCGGTGGGGGGTATAGGGTACAATGTGCAAGGTATCACAAGGTTGAAATTTCGAATAGCATAAGCAAAAACACCACGACGCAGAAAAGGTAATGAAGGGGCCTTAGCAATTTCGACTAGGATTTTGAGGCCCAATTCTAGTTTTACTATGACAAGGACCCCAAAGACCCAAAGACACATTGCTGGTACTTATATGGGCCCTAAACCCTAAACCCTAAACCCTATACCCTTAAACCCCTAAACCCTAAACCCTAAACCCTGAACCCTAAACCCTAAACCCTGAACCCTAAACCCTAAACCCTATGCCCTTAAACCCCTAAACCCTAAACCCTAAACCCTGAACCCTAAACCCTAAACCCTGAACCCTAAACCCTAAACTCTAAACCCTAAACCCTAAACCCTATACCCTATAGGATCGAAAAGCAGCCTTTTCATGGCCTGCGCCGGCATTTCAACTGGAGCAGCGTCAGCCGTCGAGCGACCTCAGGACTGGCTGATGCCCTTGGGGTTTAGGGTTTAGGGTTTATAGGGTGTAGGGTTTAGGGTTTAGGGTTTAGGGCTTAGGGTTTTGGGTTTAGGGTTTTGGGTTTTGCGTTTCGGGAATTCTGATGCAACTATAATGTGTCTATGGCTTAGAGTTTAGTGTTTACAAGATCAATAACCCCAGTGGTCTAGGAGTCTAGGGTTTAGGGCGACTATAATGGGTAGCCAAAATCATGACACAATTGTCTTCATTGGTACTGCTTTGATACCATCCAAAACTTGAGTGTGGTTGTTGTCACTACAGGTGTTCATCTCATTATTGCCACGACGGTTAGCTACTTCTCTTAGTACTTTCATGATGATGACTGCCAATGTGGGGAGCTGCACCCATGACAATTGCTACGATTGCGAGCCAAGCTCCAAGGTTTGCGACTGCAACTTTTCCGTTCCTAGCGGGTCCTAGCGGCTCCTAGCGTTTGCCCCATCAGTGCAACTAATACTGCCTTCATTAAGCCCACGACATTCACTTGAGGCACTCTTCTCATTCCACTGTTTCTGCTTTCTCAGTTTCTCATGCTGCTCTGGCAACTCTTAGAACCGGCTGGTTCCCACGTAACTTGCATTAGTCCGCCTCAAGAGTCATGCCAACTGTCGTCGTTGGACATCATGTGATGCAAAAGACTTAAGAAGCAAGTGAGTAGGTACTTACTACTGTCTAACTACTCCTCCTCTATCCCTTCTCCAAACCAAAACCCTAAACCCTAAACCCTAAATGGGGGTTCGGAGCAGCTGTGGCTCCTGCGCATGGCCTCCACGTGCGCGCGCTGCGCATCGCTTCCGTGGAAGCCGCCGCGCACGCCCGGCGAAGCAACGAAGCCTCCGGGAGCTTCATGCAAGCTGGGTTTAGGGTTTAGGGTTTAGGGTTTAGGGTTTAGGGTTTAGGCAATACAGTTATGTACAATATAACATAAAACTAATCTATAATATGATATCTCATATCCGTCTGCGGCTTTTGGCCGAGGCCGTGCCGGCGTGCCGGCTCTCACGAAACCTTCAAAAACACCTCCGGCGCTACTCTAAGGTCTAGTGCCAGTACCGTTTAGTGCAAAGCTGTAGCCAGAACTTGAGCCGCATATCCAAGTGCTGATTCAAGCTCGCCATCTGCACGCGCTAGGCCCTGCAGCAAATCCTATCCTACATCGCATCTACACTCAGTACTCCGCGGCTACTCTTTGCTAAGAGGGTTTTGGGTTTTGGGTTGTCCCAGGAAGCCCTGCGGCCGGAGGGATTGGGAAGAGACCTTGGAAAGATGGTGGTGGGCTTGCATCGGGGTACTAGAATCGGAAACTCTACGAATCCTGAAGCCCGAAACGCGAAAACCTTAAACCCTAACCCCCAATAGAACCTAAACCTTAAACTCCTGAACCCCTAAGCCCCTAGTCGCCCTAAGCCCCTAACCCTAAACCCTAAACCCTAAACCCTGAACCCTAAACCCTAAACCCTAAACCCTAAACCCTAAACCCTGAACGCTGAACCCTAAACCCTAAACCCTAAACCCCTAATCGCCCTTGAACTGCCTGATGAAGGCTTCTCGGGGGGCGGAGCACGGCCTGGCAAGATGCCGTCCGTCATCACTTCTGCTGCCAAGGTTTCGGTTTAGGGTTTAGGGTTTAGGGTTTAGGGTTTAGGGTTTAGGGTTCAGGGTTTAGGGTTTCGGGTTTAGGGTTCAGGGTTTAGGGTTTAGGGTGTGAGAACTCAAAGCCTCAAACCCCAAACCCCGCCTGAGGATGCCGGGCTTCGGTGGCTGTCATAGTAGCTACCACCAGCGCCGCCTCCTGGGGAAGACACCGGCTTGAGGCAATCGACCCATAGGCCCCATTGTAGTTCCTTTTTGGGATTACCTTATAGGATTCTAAATATGAACCCCAAAAAGGAACTGCTATGGCGCCTATGGG